GTTTGGAACAAGCAGATTGTGGCTAGGGAAGAACCACAGATTTCCTATTTACAGTGGGATCAATGGCTGTGCTAGTCTGTGAAAGGAAGCATTTGAGATAAATGCATGAAGAGCCATTTCCTTGTGCACTGTTCAAAGGCTCCTTCCGATGTCCTTTTATTTTATCAGTGCTTAATATAAATTAAAGTCACCTTTCTGAAGACCTTAACACAAAAAGAGAGGGGTATTCATGTATATACACATGTATATTCATGTTTGTGAGATTATATATGTATATGCATATAGATAGTTAACTATCATTTAAAAACTAACCAAATTGTATGTAAGGAGATAATTAATTCTGTATTTATGGAGATATTAGACCAAAAGGTTGTACTTATCATGATTTCCATAGACATGAGTAACACTTCAAAATCAATAAGATATTTATCATTTAAACCATTTAAAATAATTTCAATTATATTAAGTTTCTTCTAGTCTTCTGGTAGAATATTGCTATGCTTGGCATTTTCCTAGTCTTCCCATCATGAACTGTGTCTTCAGGTCTTCTTATACAGTGTATCCCTGTCTTTCTCTCTATCTCTCTGACAATTCTAGACACTTTTTTTTCACCTCCAGCTAATCAAAGCCCTATCCTTCAGGCTTCCCTGAGTAGTTGTGCCCTTTGTCAACCTTGAAGCATTAGCTAGCTCACGTATTTTTATCTTAAGAAAGACTAAGAAAAATCACTCCAGACCAATTAGACTTGACAACTTTCCTCTAAAATTTCTAATAGAAGAGAACAGGAAGAAAATACAATAAAAACTACATTAACTTATAGCTTATGGCTGGTTTAAACATAAAAGAACTATGTAAGTGCGAGTGAAAAAAATCAATATTCAAGTAACTGATATTGTAATTCTGAGATAGTAACACTACTTTTTCACTAACCTCAACCTTGTGCATCTTCGTGTCTTTAGTGATTATCGGATACAGGATCACTCATCAGCCATGGATGGCAGAAAAAATATGTATTGTGTTGCTTTTAGTTTTATGAGATCCATACTAATGATAAAATTATGAATCAACCTTTGATGAGGTATAATTTGTACCATTGATAATTAGAAGCCAAACACTCTGAAGCTGTTCATTCAGTGGGTACCTTTTCCATTAATTTTAATTTTCCTCTTCAAAATGCATAGAGTTTCACCATTATCTTCAATGATAGCAATGAACTTTTTCTTGATCAGCTTCTAACAAGGTGCTGGAAGAAACAGAAAAAGAGAAGATATAGTACCTGCCCTTAGAGAGCTTATGATATATCTGATGAAAGAACTAAATATCTGAGAACAAAAATAAAAATACAAGGCACTAGCAAAGCAGCAAAATGAGTGCCCTTAAATCAGACTATGGAATTGTGAGGGAGAGAGAAGATTCCCAGCATGAAGTCAATCAAAGGCAAGGTGATAAAGGAGATTCTACCAATCAGAGCCAAATTGCAAAATGAGTAGCTCTAGTTAATAATGAAATAAAGGCACATCCATTTGTTGAAAATGAATAGGGGAAAAGTGCAGGCATTCTAAAATGAGAAAGCACAGTGAAAGAACAGTAGGTTAAGAGGAAAGTGATGGGTAGCCCTAGTGAAGCCAAAACCAATGCAATAAACAAACATGGGGGCACATAGGCACTGCTGTCTCAGGCAAGAGGGTATTCATCACCCAGTGTGATATTCACTTGGCATCGCCAGCTTCTGGAACAGCTCAGCTCTTAACACTGGAACAATTTATTGCCTAATTATTTAGTTTGCCCTTTCAAAGAGTCTGTCTGCAGGACCCTTTCTGAGAGGGAGCATGCAAAAAAGTGGGCACTTGAAAAGTCATCTCCCCCATTGCACTAAAAGCAAAATAACCTTTTATCAAATGCTTTGTGCCCGTTTAGAATATTGAATTTGTATTTTAATCATTGAGTTCAACAGGCATATAGCCAGTGGGAAGGACTTAATTACAAATGATGTCTTTCTCATGCTGTCCCAAGAGGAGCTTTAATGAAGTTCGGAGCCCTCAGACAGGAAAGGTCAAACGGCTTTGCTTCCCCCATACCTCAAACTGCACATAGCTGAACCTTTATCTTAGCAGATGTTCAACCAGGTATAATATTAGCCTGAGGCAAAAATTCCAGGAAACCTGAGTTCACAGGGAAGCAATTCTCTGGAATTCAGGGGATGGTAAAGCAGCCTGTTTTAGAGTTTAAAGAGAAGATGAATTTAGATAATCTCCACTTGAATATAAATATATTTTATGAGGACAGGAATACACTTCTATGCAGTTCTTTGGTTCAACATTAACACAACACATAAAAACATCTTCACAACAGAATTTAAAACTAGCCCAAAGATAACTTTAAATAATTAGCAAATCAAGTGCCTCAAAAAGAGTAAATGTAAATGTTCACAAGTCAGTTAAACTAAGCCCGAATAAAGCTGAGAAACACACACTCTAGAGTGGATAAATATTTGTGATTAGAAAGACTGAGGATCTTTTGGGAAGGACTAGTAAGTAGGCAACTGGGAAGGGCAAGAGGGGAATCCGGCAGGAGGAGGATTGACAGGTTGACTTCCGCAGAGCAGTAGAGGTAAGAAACTGTCTCTATTTCCGGAAGCCTGTCTCAGCTACCGGAGTTATACCTGAAACTGACAAAAGTTGTAATGCAACTAACTCTCTAGTCTGGTTAGCCCAGAGCGTGCCATGTGTAATAAGTGCATACAGAACAGACCACAAAAACAAGGGTCTGAGTGCCACCGTGAGCTGCCGGTTGATCTGAGTCTCCCCACAGGCAACCACCTGAAGTTAGTGGGTTTTTTTGTCCCACCCAAAGAAAGAAGACCAGATAGGTAGGCTGCTTCTAGGTGATTTCATGGGCACCCAGAACCAGCTTTGCTTTTCTAGTGCTTCAGTATAAGATTTGTAGAATATTTATTTCTCATTCTTATTCCTTTACGTTCTTTAAAATACACACCATCCTAAATATTTTCAAGAAATAGCGTAGGAAACGCTTTCACAGTTGAAAAGCAGAGACGGGTCCTATTTGTACTGGCAGTGGTTGCGGGCCTACCCGAACAGCTGTCTCAATAGCTGCGTAATTAAGAACATAAAATTGCAGAATGTTCAGTGTGTTGCCGGAGTGGGAAACAGCAAAAAAGAAAGGAGGGGGAAAAAAAAAGAGAGAAAGGAGGGAGGCGCCTGCCAGGATTGGAATGCCGAGGAAGGTGTCGAGTTGCCTGCTGGAGGTTCACTTCTAATTGTTTCAGTTCAGCATAACCGTCTTCGGGTGAGAGGGCGGGGCTGGCTGGGACCGAGGTCTCTCTTCTAGAGGCGCGTGTGGACGGACCCGACCGGGCCGGAGGGGCTGAGCCAGGAACCGCGGGGCGCACGCAGAGACGCTCGGAAGAGAGCCCACCAGTCCCTCTGGGTCCCGCTCTCGTCCTTTCTGAGCTCTCCCCAGCCTCTGTCCCGAGGTCGCACGAAGGCAAAATCACGGCATAGCATTATCTCTAGGACAATAGCGCCACTCTCCGCTCCACGCCCCGCCACGCGGAACAAGCGCGGCCACAGCCAGCTCCCGTCCCCAGTCCCCGGCCCCTGCCCCCTGTTCCCTGTCCCCGTCCTTGCCCTCCAGTCCCAGTCCCCAGGTGTCTGCCCTCCAGCCCCTGTCCCCGGCTCCCTGCCCCCAGCTTCCTGTCCCTGGGTCCCCGTCCTACCCCCCAGCCCCCTGTCCCCGTCCCTGTCACCCAGCCCCTGTCCCCGTCCTTGCCCCCAGCCCCTGTCCCCGTCCTTGCCCCCCAGCCCCTGTCCCCCGCGCTGAGGACCCAGTCCGCTATCTATCCAGCCGTCCGCCCGCCCTTCCCGGGCGTTTCCATCAGCCCCTCGCTTCCGGCGCCTCTTTTTCCTTTCCTAGGCTCCATCAAAGGCTGCTCTGTTATTGAAATACGAAGCCGTTTCCTCCCCAAACCCTCGGCTCCTCAAGGCAGGAATCAATGGGCCTATATGCGCTCCCCATTTTAAATAAACGTCTGTTTGTTCTGGAGGCGTCTTTCCCGCTGGTTATTTTGGGAAGAGGCAAGAGGTGTGGTTTGTGTGTGTGTGTATGTGTGTGTGTGTGTGTTCTGAGTGTGGTGTGTATCTGATGTGTGTGTGTGGTGTGCGTCTGGTATGTGTAGTCTGTATCTGATGTGTGTAGTATGTATCTGGTGTGTGTAGTGTCTGTAGTGTGTGTGTGTGTGTGGTGTGTGTAGTGTGTGGCGCGTGTGCGGTGTGTGTGGTGTGTATCTGGTGTGTGTGGTGTATACAGTGTAGGTGTGGCGTATCGGGTGTGTGTTGTGTGGCGTGTGCAGTGCGTGTGGCGCGTGTGCAGTGTGTGTAGTTGTGTGTGGTGTGTGTGTGGTGTATACAGTGTAGGTGTGGTGTGGTGTGGTGTGGTGTGTGTGTGGTGTGTGTGTGTGTGGTGTGTGTGTGTGTGTGCTGTGCGCGCGTCCTGCGCTCCGTGCGCATCTGGTTCCTCTCCCGGGCGGCTCCATCCCCACCTCCCACCTCGCAGCTGCCCTCGCGCTCCTCAGGCCGCCCCTGCGCTGGGCTCTCCTCCTGCTCCCCGGATCCGGCCCGTCCCTGGCCCCGTCCCCGTCCTGTCCGGTCCCCGTCCTGTCGCGTCCTCGTCCCAGCCCCGTCCCCATCCCAGCCCGGTCCCCGTCCACGTCCCGGGATGCGGTGGCAGCGGCGGGTACCGGGAGGGAAACCCAGTTCAGCAGCCGAAAAAGTGCTGGGAGACTGGGGAAAGTTTGGGGCGCGTGAGCACGACGGTCTCCTGCGCGGGACCTGCCTCCCGCAGGCCTAACTCTTAGGCAGGACCCTCACAGCGGAGGGATGCCGGGGACTCGGGGCCCCGCGCCGCCGCGGAGGGCGCGCCCGCGTGTCCCCGCAGGGCGGGAGCCTGGGCGAGGCCGCAGGGCTGCTCCTCCCCTGCCTGGAGCTCTCGGCGGGGCTGTAATTGGGGCTCGGGATAACTGTCCCGGTGACGCTCTGCCCTGCTCTCCTTCCTCTGGTGAGAAAGTGCCTCCTTCTTCCCAGGACCAGGACCTCTGCCATCCAGAGCCACAAAGAGACATTCTTGCACACAGGCGCACGCGCGCGCGCACACCCACCCACGCCCACCCACTCGCACACTCGCGCAGAGACAAACTTAAGGTGAGGAGGGAGAGCGCTCGCTTCACTTCATCCCCCGCCTCCGGCTTCAGTGGACGGAGAGAGCCGGACTTCTGGCGTCCAGGACGAGGTAAAACTTGATTCATACTTTTGCTTCTTCCTCTGGCCATTCCTTGGTGACTAAGCTTTCAGGCAGCAGGGCGTATATGCTATACGTACATCCACATGAAACAAGTTTTATTCTTCTCTTCATTTACACTTGAGTTCAGCGGGACTCCCCAACATGTTTTAAGGTTCACACAGTCAAAGGAAATACTACTGCGGCCAACTGGCTCAGTGTAGAAGCGGGGAAAGAATTAACTCAACTTTTTCTAGCTCTTGCTAGTGATACTGTTAATCTGGAAGGCTCATGTTTTCCAAGTGGTGACTTTTCCATCTGTACTTCAACAAGCATTTTTATAGCACCTGAGATGAAAAACAGCTCCTGGTATAAGTTCCAGGGCAAGCCGACCAATGGAGATGCCCACCCTAGCTCTGACTCATGTCTTAGGGAATATAAAGATTTATGTGGAAAAGAAAGTCACTTTTAGTCATAGCTGATACCTGGTAGATTAAGAATCTTTGAAGTGCTATTTTGGTCTCGGCTTCTGCATTTAACACAAAATTAAGACCAGTTAAGACGCATTTTATACATAGAATGATGGGTTGGAAAAATCTTTAAGGTAATAGTTGTTGAGATTACTTTTAAAAGTTGTTTGAAGGATTTCTTTGAATATTGAAACTGCTCAGCACCAAAAGCAAATTGGAACTGTTGGGAGATTGGCATAATTTGTTCCCTTCCATTCAGTGTGGATGTTGTGTCCAAAATAAGACGGTTTATTATTTTGAAAATAAGTTGTTTTATTTTCTTGTATCCCTGGAAAAATACACAAAGTGCCCAGTACATTTGGGAGTTTTGGGGTGGGAAGGGTTCCCGCGCATGTTCCAGTGTGATGTCATGAAATCAAACAACAGGCCTGGAAGCCAACGGTGCTGAAGAAACAAACCCTGTGAATTAATTTCTAACTGAATGTAGTATTTATTCATGGCAAATGTAATTTCTGGTAACCATTTCTATTTGATTATTTCCGTGTCCTGAATTTGAATTTTAGGCACATTTTACTGACTTCAATATTTTAATGGAATCTTAAAGCAGGAATAGTGTCAGCCCAAAATGCATCATTGTAGTTCTCTCTGAAAAACTTTTAGCACGACTTTCCTTAATTCTGACACTAGTTCTCAACTTTCATTCCACTTAAGTACATGAAGGGGAGAAAATTTTTCCTTCAGTTTGGTAATGTATGTCAAAGAACTACTGAGCATTTAAACTTTAGTCTTTAGCCTTAAACTTCCAGTTGTTTCAGCTAAATGAATGGGTTTTTGGCCATGTTTTTCCTTTTTGGTGATCTCTCCAGTACATGGTAAAGGGCTTACAGACAGGAAAACTAGATAAGAAGTAATTGTGCTGAGAATTAATTTAAGCAAGGCAGAGAAACCAACAGCCTGAAGGGTTGGTTGGGGCCAGGAAGGAATGTGCCCAGGGGCTGGGATTCTGACCGGGGTACCTAGGAGTGCATGGTGGGCCTGTGTTTTCAAGGAGAACCCAAAAGAAGGGGAACAGTATGTTCTTATAAAGTGACCCATTTATTTTCAAGAAGGCCCTGTCTCTCAGAGGAATGACTGACACTGAAATTTAGAAGTGCTGAGGAAACTTTTGCAGAGAAGAATCAATTAATTATATCCCTAGTGGTTTCATCTCATTTTCCTTCCTTTGGGAGCAAGTAACACATCCAGGATAAATACATGCAGAGCGTGTAGAAAGATGCTTTGTGTGTAATCCATCCTCTGAACAGTCCGCCCTTTTAGCATCTTGGGTGTGGGACTGCGGTATTTTCTAAGCAGCTGAAGAAGCCTTTTGAGTCTTAAGGTAGCCTTGGAGTTCATCTTACAAAGATGAACAAGACCATATTCAGAAAATGACTTCTTTTTCTCAGAAAACGCTACTTTCCACTTCTTTTGGCCCCATGTATATTTTATCTCCGGGCTACATTTTCAAGATTAATGGTATCCCACCAAATAAAATTTACAACAGAACGCAAGGGCAATTTGAAAATGACTTTTATATTACAGTCTTCTGCTGCTTCTAATTAATTCTGTGACATCCTGCAGTCATGATTGCTAACCATAGTACTTAGTCCGTGTCATTTAAACATACTTAGCCTGCCGTGGAAAGGTAACAAAATGCTGTTGGGGGAAGTAGGGAGAAATAGAGACCGGGATGTTCGGGATTTTAATCAATAGTGTTTAAGGAGGATTAGAGGAAACAGCTGGTTAAACAAATATTAGATGTAGAGAGGACGCCATGGTATAAATTAATAATGCATCCCTTTATTTACACTATGAATGAGGTTTGTGGCGGGTGAATGTGTGAAGCATGATCTCCGGTCGCCCTCTAGTGGGTAAATTAGAGAATGCTTTCTCATCAGCCTCCAAAAACTGGAATTTTCATTTCATTGAACACTAAATGCCAGTCACTGGGTAGGTAAAGCAAGTGACTATTACACAATTTAAAAATCAAGATATCGGTTAGTCTATTAAATGCGTCATAGCTGCAGCTGAAATTGATTTATTCTTCACTGGATAATTTGCCATCAACTTCTGCCTCCTTAAACAGGTAGTTTGGGTCAGCAACTCATTTCTGCTGTAAGACTTGCTTTTACAAAGGTGTCATGCTGTGGTTCTGGAGCTTGACAATCTTGAACCACTGTTTCTCAGAAGGGAATAAATTTCTGCAAAGCTTGCTGTTACTTAGTTCCGTTGGGTAAATGACTGCTAATTTAAGAAGTTAGCACACCAGAACTAGAGCATTTTATTACATTTGCTTCCTGTTTTTCATTAAAAGAAAAAATGACAGTAGTAAAAGTTGCTTTTAGTAGTGAGGTATAGTTTATACACTATTACTTTTAATCAATAACTAGCATATAGGATAACTTCACCTATGCTAGTCCATATACAATTTCAAAGCAAGAAACTTGCTTCAACGTGGTTGATAATATAGAAAAAAAAATCCTAGACAAGGACAGTTACACAGAAAACCACTGCTTGAAAGGAGTATTGAGAGATCACAGAAGATTAATTCATCTGAGTGTTGCATTTTTCAAAAAGTTTTCTCTAGGAGATATAAGAATGATCACTTCAATTGGCTTCTTGTAAGATATATGACTTAATAGCAGTAGTGTTCAGCAAGTCCGTTATTAATCAAGACAAGGGGTGATATTCAGATTGGAAGGTAGAATGTCTCAGGAGGGAAAAAATGATGAATGGGTTATTTGCTGAGTTCTTGAGGTATGGCCCACAAATCCAGCTAGGTAGGTTGTTCAGTAGAAGGTGTCTGCCTTTAGGGGTTTGTTGGTTTTGTTATTGCAGGGAGACCTAGCTATGAAGCAGAAGCTTCTAATTTAGTGCTTTTTCATGAATGCCACAAAATTATAGCCTGTACTGACCAGTAGAGATGGCTGGGAGCAACACCATCACTCATGTGAAATAAAGCACATTATCTTGACTCTTACTTCCAACGGGTCATTATCCAATAGAAGAAATTCTGTTAATAATTTCATCAGATCATCTTTGAGGTGTAGAGTAAAACCTGTATTCATTGCAGAGCAAAGAGAGATTGCCTAAAAGTCAGAGGCCTTGAAAATAGAATTCTCATCATGGGTGGTAAGACGATGATACAAGTTTTGATGAATTCAAAGGATATAATGATCCTAGTCAAAGATAAACTTTATCTGAGAGAACTGTTCAAACTCTCTTCATGGGCTGAGTTCTTGGTTATAATTCTATGCGATGGTTTCCCCCACAAATGGAGACATGAGTGGAGATTGCTGGAATTAAGACTCTCAGCTATGTTTCTTAAGGAAACCAGGATTTTGTAGTTAACAGGGGTGATAATTGAGATGGAGGTGTTGCTAGAAGATGAAGAAGCCACTGAGAAAAGAAAAATGAAAATCTGCGCAGTGAAAAATAGCAGAACAAGGACTGAAATTTCCCCTCTGCAAACTGAAGCATCCAAAAAAGGGCACCATTTACTTGGTTGATAACTAAACTCCAAAGTCTTACAGAAGATTTCTCAGTTCAGTCCCCATCCACGCGATATGATTTTTTCTCCCTTTGAGTCTTCCTCTGAATTTTGAGGCATCACCTCAATGGATCTTTCATTACTTCGTTCGGTGAAAACGTGCAGAGAGGGTGGCTGTTTGCCAGGCACTGTGGGAGCAGTATATGATGGGCCTTCCCCTCACTTAGCACTAGGGAGGTCCACTCCAAAATAATCAGAAAGCCACAATTGTTGATAATAAACCTAAAATACTGCAAGATCCTGAATTACATTTTGAATAACTCAACAAGCGAAACATTCTTGCCTCACAGCTTTAGTATCGAGCAGATTTTGAGCACGCACCTTTAAAAACCATTGTCCTGGACTGGCTGACTCTTGCCTTATAGGCAGTTATGTCTGTGGAGGTGAATTAAAGAGACAAAAATGCCTTTGCATACAATTGCCCACCAGTGTGCAACAACTAACACTCATAACGAGGGAGCACGATTTAGTGCTCACCATTTTCACCAGGCAGGCACCGTCCTAGGCTTGCATCGTAATTTGCTCAAGAAGTTCGCTGGCTGGTGCAGGAGCCAGATGAGCACACATCATGAATCACCAGAAAATTTGCCAAGTAGGTGCAATTTGCCTTCCTAGACTCCTGGGTCCCTTCCCTTAGCACCTTATCCAAACTTTCCAGCCCCCTCGACCTCATAAACTGAGACTCTACGCCACCCCCCACCCCCAAGAGAATCTGATAGGTCTCTGCTTTATTGATTTCTTAACCACACTTAAGTGTGAATGAGTTTTACTCATGCATATACATTTCAAGCCTTTTATCTCTTAAAGTAAATGTTTTGTTTTCTGTAAAAAGAATTCAAAACATCTGGAGGCTTTCCCACCCTGACACCAAAGGGTGTAATTCAGCCTAATTAAATCCTCCGTGGTCGTCAGTCTCTCTGTTGTCAGTCTCTCTGTTATCCCTGTGCCTTGTG